TTTCTTTAGTGCACACCAACTGTTTATCCTGCTGATCCTTTCAATTCAGAAGAAGATGCAGCTCTTCTTCGAACCGCCATGAAGGGATTTGGCACTGATGAGCAGACAATAATCGATGTTCTTGCTCATCGTGGTATTGTACAACGACTTGAAATAGCTGATAAATTTAAAACTATGTATGGAAAAGATTTAATTTCCGAATTGAAATCGGAACTTGGTGGTAATTTTGAAAAGGCAATTTTAGCATTGATGACACCATTACCAGAATTTTATGCTAAAGAACTTCATCATGCAATTTCTGGAATGGGTACAGACGAAGGTGCTCTCATTGAAGTGTTGGCGTCTCTTAGCAATTATGGTATCAAAACTATATCTGCTGTCTATAAAGAACGTAAGTTTCTATTTATTTTAATGATTTTTTAAATAAATACAAATAATTAATATTTAAATTTTATTAGGAACAACGTTATTGCAAATAATTCTAAATAATTACTAAATTAAAATGCTATAAAAATTTTTTTCTGGCAGAAAAATCATTATTATTTTAAATTTCATATTGCTTAAAAAATTCATGATCATTATAAACAAATTTTAAAAACTATATGCAATGTGTTTCTTTTGATATCGAGTAATATGTTTTATATAAAATATTTTTAAGGAAATATACTTTTTAAAAATTATTTGTTATGAGATAAATACAAATTCTCGCATATAATTATATTTTAACTGATAATTTTTTGAATTTTATAAAAAAGATTGTACATAATTGAAGTATCTTGAAGATTCCATTATTGCACTATATTTATGTATTAAGTAATTATGTATACATAATTACTTGAAAATTAATTCTCTATTAAATAAAGAAAAAAAATATGTATATATATAATTCGTGAATTTGATATATATATAATTATATATAATTATATATTATATATATTATATATATAATTATATATATAATTCGTATATATATTATATATATAATTATATATAATTCGTATATATATTATATATATAATTATATATATAAT